TCTCAGGCTTTCACAGAGAGCTAACTGGTCCAGCAATGGCCTACATGGCTGACACAGACAAAGGATCTACAAACTGCTGTATAGGGTTTCAGGGTAAATCCTGAGGGATACTACTAAAAAAATCATTCTGGACCTGAAAAAAATAAATAACTGAACTGAAAGATTTATTAGAGGGATTAAACAACAGATTTAACTAAGCAGAATAAAGAATCAATGAATTTTCAATAGTGGATGGAGCCACCAACGGCCTGTAGAGCAACATGCCTATGTTTTATTGTGACTACTGTGATATGTATCTCACCCATGACTCTCTGTCTGTGAGAAAGACACAGATACAAAAGTTACTTTTTTTTTTGTTTGTTTGTTTTGTTATATAGGTCTTGATTTATCTTGGTCTTAACCATCCAGCAGAAAAGTATAAAAATGAGATATAAAAAGTAAAGCCATGTTAATATGCTGAACTGTAAAAGGCTCAAGTCAACATCTTCTGACATTGCCAGTCATGCAGATAACCTACTACTATTAGAGACCAACGGCTACATTTCAACAAGGAAAGATATTCTATTCTCCACTCCTCCCCTAGCAGGGGCTATGATCCAAACTCCACTCAGTCTCCTGGGTCCTCCTCGCCCTGGTATGATGCCAGCACCTCATATGGGAGGCCCTCCCATAATGCCAATGATGGGTCCTTCTCCTCCCAGGATGAAATCAGTGGTACCTGCTCCTAGAATGAGGCAACCCATGGGAGGCCATATGTTGATGATACCTGGTCCTCCAATGATTTGACCACCAGCTTGGCCCATGATAGTGCCCACTGGGCCACAAATGACTCAACCAGACAGATAAAGAGGAGGGGCAGCCTCTCTGTATCAGTTTTATATTATTTATTCTGCTTCACCAGGGGATCATGGTGCTATGACTCTGGGTGTTTTCTAGCAGCATGGATGACAAGGAAGACTTGCTCCCCCTTCCTATCAAAGAATAGTTTTGAAGGGAGAAGTATGATAAATAAAGTGCAGAAAGTACAGTTTCATTTGTATTGTGAAATGTGAGAGTAAACTTGTCAGCTTTAAAAAAAAAAAGAATTTTCAATAGCAAATCATTTGAAATCACCAAATCATAGGAACAAAAAAAGAAAGATGAAAAACAAAGAAGGCCTAAGGGACTTAGGGGACAACAGTGAGTAGATCAATTGTGCACTGTGAGGATCCCAGCAGGGACAGACAAAAGAAAGGAACTAAAAGCAAACACAGGGGCATGCAGGTTACTTAAAAGAGTAATGGCTGAAGACTTCCCAAATTTGTGGCTACACATGGACATATAAATTTAAAGACCCCAAGAATTTTAACTAGGAAAATCTAAAGAGAACCACATCAAGATACAATCAAACTGTCTGAAGTCCATTAGGGAGCCTTAAAAATAACAAAAGTGATGCACCACACTCAAAGGAACATATACACAAGATTATCAGCAGATCTAAAGGAGAAAATCTGGCAGGCCAGATAGCTCTGCGGATTGAAGCACCTGCTCAGGCAGCCACTGGAACTGGGTTTGATCACACACCCACCAATGACCTGCCAGTCCCACTCCCAGGGCACATTGAAACAGCGATTGAGACTGGGCATGGTGGCACGCACCTGTAATCCCAGCGTTTGGGAGGCAGAAAACAGGAGGATCACTATGAGTCCGATCTGTGTAGTGAGACCCTGTACTACAGTACATTAAAAAAAAAAAAAAAAAAAAAGGTATAGTTTCAGGCCTTTGATAGGCCTATGAGATTTCCCCAAAAAGATAAGAAATAAGAAAACCAAGATTTAGGTAAGTGAGATATTTTGGGAGTCACTGATATATTGATGGTACTTAAAACCATAGAAATACAGTATGAGGAGGCTAATGATAAGGCTTAATCAACTATAATAGGTATTCAGTAAATGTTTGGCAGTTTTCTA